GGGACCAAGTGCACGAGGGAGTAGCACTGCAAGCATATGAAAGGAGGGCACTGCGACCTTGAGGTCAAGCTTGCACATCTATTGGTAAAGTCCTGAATGGATGCCCTGACGTGCTAATTGGTGCGGATGGCCTTATGATGGTGAAATGTCCCTGGATGTAAAGGGAAAATCTGATGGCAGGCAAACTGAAGTTGTTTCTGACTTTATCCCCTTATGACTTGAAAGTGATCTGCCCACTTCATAAACTTTGAAAATGCAAAATGTTTTCCGTAACTGTCCCCCTTCAACGTAATGTGCACATTGAAACATGCTCTTTTTTCTGCTTTCCGGTGAGAAAAAAAAGCCAACGAATCTTCCTCTTCCTTGTCGTAATGGGAAGGAATGCAAGACTGATTGCATATTTTGTATACGCCAATCAGTTTCATAAGTGAATACAAATTCACTTATGAAACTGTCTTCTGCATAATTTATAAGCAGTGTAGCCCCGGCTTTAGGCTACATTATCGCGGGTCGGTTCGTTAATAAACCTCCGTGGGTGCCAATGATAGCTACAGTCTCTCTTTCCCTTTCTCTCCAATTGTAGCAGAAGAGGAGACACACCCACCGGAGTAAGGACAGTGTTCAAGAGTATTTATTAAACACTTTTAAAAGCAATGCCACGTCCCATCCAAAATGCCCCCCCCCCCCCCCCCCCCCGCGCCGGCAAGGTAAGAAAAGGCTCTTACCTGGCCAACACGGGGCGCCCGAGAGCCAAGGTCTATAATCGAAAAGGTCGCCGATAAACGGCGGTTCAGTCCAAACCGCAAAACGGGCCCGGGACCCGACCGGAACCCTTTTTTTGTATCTTCCGGAGCACGCGTTCTGGCTGGAAAGTGTGGCGTTGCGTTTTGAAGACGAAGATATACTTGGTTTTATGATAACTAGGGCGAACTGTGGAGGCTACGGGCCCCGCAACCCATTAAGAGCTTCGAAGTCCGGATCGAGGCACGTTACCTCACGTCACGGGATCGTTCGTGCCGCTGCGCCTAATGCAAAGTCCGGAGGAACCGGTTGTCGTCTGCTGGCCAAAACTCTACTGTAAAACCAACCAACTTCAGATGAACGTTCACCACAGCAACATTGCCGTTCGCTAAAGTAGCGAGCTCTTCGGGAACAATTCACGAAACAAACATATGCTCGGTTTACCCGCGGATCTTTGCCATGGCGACATTTTGAGCGCAAGTGGTCGAGGGCTGCGATCGTTCAAACTGTATTGAAAAGCCACGTTGTTCTAGGAAAATACGAGTCTCGGGGTTTTCGGTTGATTCGAATTAAGTATCCTTGAGAAGTCACATGTCTTCGTCTTTCTCCCGTGTCGCGTAGTGCGGATGGAGATGCAATCGCGCGAGTTCGATAGATGCTGATACGGTACACCGACAACGACGTATACGACGTTCCGCCGGATATGCGCCCGGGACGGCGGATGGCTGCGATACACAACACAACAACTAAAGCCCAGGCACAGGGTGTCACAAAAAATATTTACAGGGTTTTTTTACCGCAAAAATAAACTAGGCATCGCCGAACGCTCATTCTCTGCCCAAAGGCCTAGAGGTCACAACCAGATGCCAAAGTTTCAGCCCGATCCGATTACTTAATCAAAAGTTATAAGTGATTTCTCTGAAAATTTCATCGGGAAAATGGCGGCCGACGGAGTTTTCGAATACATGGAGCTCTATGGCACAAAAAAACCGAAAAGGGGCAAAATTGACACCGTTTCCCTATTGAAAGTTTCGAATAATCACTTATAACTTTTGAATAATGTATCGGATCGGGCTGAAACTTATGGCATCTGGTTGTGACCTCTAGCGCTACCTTCGGGCGGAGAATGAGCGTTCGGCGATGCCTAGTCTATTTTTGCAGTGAAAAAAACCCTATACATTTTATTTTGGTGACAGCCTGTATAGGTTCCCGTAGGGAGCGGTGTAGGGCTATTGATTGATGATCGAGTTCGCCGACAATCCGGCAACATTTTCCCGCGCTTTCGCAAAAGGTTTTAGTCTTCGCGGCAGGAGCATTGGCGCGGTAGCGGCAGTCGTTTTTTTTTTGCAACATTTCGAGCGTTGGAAAGGAACGCGCATGCCAGGGTGCTGCGCTTTCGGGTGTAGTAACGGGCATGAGGCCGGGAAACAGGTGTTCGTATCACGGAGGGTGAGAGACACCGCAAAGAACGACTTGTGTGGCTGTCGTGGATCAGTCGGACGGACTTCACTCCCACCTCTTGTACACGGCTGTACAAGGTAAGTTCTATTATTAAAGCGGTAGGTAGGGGTTCATTCTTTGGACTGTAGACTTTCTTCCAAACTGATTACGAGCAATTTAATTGTGTCAAATGAATGCTTTTGGAAGCTTGCTCCAGCACCCGCGCGGCAGCACGATATAAATGTTGGCATCGTGCATGCTTAGACTACCCGCTTGACCTGCTAGCCTGTGTTCCACTGACTTCACGGCACTGAAAAGCGCGGGGATATTTGAATGCTGGTTTTGGAACCATATTTTCGTATGTAGATTTCACAATGACTGTTCTGAATTTCGCGATAGTAAATAGCATACTGGAAAGGGCAAAGGCCGGGGATTTAGAAGATATAGTTATTTGGCTAGAAAAAAATGGCCCACAATAACGTTTTTCGTTTTTAATCTAAAAGGGGCTTATCTAATTACCGACCCGTAAAAAAAATTCTTCAATGTGTGAGGGAGACAAGTGTTTCTTTCCATACATAGTGTATCTCAAATACCCAGGCTCCACTAAAACGGGCCACGAATATGAGCGCCTGCACATAGCAGTATAAAACGTTTTCGTGAAATATGTATTTTACACGTCGGTGTTATCACGCCAAGCTCCAAAGTGTAGCTTCCTTTCTGTAAAAAAATAATAGGGCCAAAACGATTTCCCGTGTTAACGGCGGATGGCGACGCAGACGACCGAGTCGAGTGGCCGGGCGCGTTTCGCGCACGTATTGGGCGCGCTAAGGCCACGCTGCTTTACTCCTACTACGAGCGCAGCAACTAAATGGAACAGTGCGTACAAGAGCGCGACACACCGAAACTATCGACGAGCCGCATGAGCCACTTCTGACCGCACCCCTATTGAGAAACCTAATTTGTATGAGCAATTTCTGTGTCCAATAAACACACATGGATCATACACTATATAAGAACCATACAAGAAACCTGTTAGAAGTTTCTTATATGGTTATAAATGTTCTTATATATCTTATATAGGTTTTCTATAGTTCCTACATGGTTCTTATATACTCTTACACATCTTGTATTATTCATATGTGTTTATTGGACACAATAAATTTCTCAGACAAATGGCTTTTTCACTAGGGACGGTTATGACTAACCCGGTATCTCGTGAATACGGGTGGCAGAAGCCGAAATTATCATCGAAGATAAATTGATTAAGGCCTCTGTGAAGAACCAGAGTGTAAATTTGTAAGAAAATGACGGTGGCGTTAGGAAGTTTCCAAGAATGTTTAAATATTCGTAAAAGGTTCGAAGGCTCTCTTCGAGCACACATGCGGAAAGTTACCCTGAGTGATCTATATATTCATTGATTATGCATGCTGTTCAGATTTAAATGAAGCACAACATTCTTGAACTCACTTGTCGACGCAGGACGCTGTCAAACTTGTCAGATGTTCCGTGGCTCCGTCTTCCAGCGCGAGACGAAAACCGTCGATGTGCTGCGCCGATACCAGAACACCACCCTTTGATATCACGTCAATTTGTATTCAGGCGAGGTGCACGAACAAACCTATTCCGCAACGCTAACTGATATCTCGGCTTTCCAGTCGAAGTATCTTTATTCGCTGGCCTAAGCAATCTAAAAGAGGCAGAGTGGTCCGCATGTCTCCTCATCTTGACAACTTTTCTGTCGCTGTGCTATCGGCACGTCACCGTTGAATAGCTGAATTCGTTTTCAAGCAAGATGCATGAACAAGTCTTTTCCGCAACTCTAGCGGATATTTCGGCTTTTCAATCGGAGCACGGACTTAACGCGCCTGAGACGGTCGGCCGTTCAGCATGGCCGGTGCTGGAACTTGACAAGCCAACCACCGCCCTCACCAACTGGTCTATCCGACGACCATTCACTACTGTCCCTAGCAGATGCGTAACCAGGGGGGGGGGGGGGGAGGGGGGGGCTCCGGTGGCAGAACACCCCCCGAACTATTATTTAACCTCCACCCTGCCCGGCCGCCGCCGCCGTCGCTGCTTTCTCTTTCGGGCGCTCGCTATTTGTTGCATACCTCGGCTCGCAGCCTCTTTGAAACCAGACAATGTCCACGCGTTTGGAGTCGTTTTTTATAGCAACACGGCAGCAACGCCAAGGCGCCCAAGGTCAGCCAAAGCGCGAAACGCGATCGAATTGCTAAAGGTTGTCATTCGGTTGACGTGCTCCCAGCAGCAGCTAATCGGGACGCTTTCTTACCGCCCGCATTTTGTTTGTTTTCTTGCGCTCCCGGCGGAAACTACGTCTTTTTCGTGGACGTTGAGGACTCGTTCATATTTATAAAAAAATCGCTGTAAAATCAAGGCCATTTTTATAGTGTATTTCAATTGTTAAACTGACCTTCCAAACCGTCTTCATTGTCCCTCCTTTCAAGATCAAGAAAAACGTCAATACTGCGAAACACAAAGAGAAATGTTACGAAATAAAAATCAAGCAAAATGTTTCGACAAAGAAATCAAGTGAATTGTTACCAACGAAATATCAAAGGAATGATCATCTCAGACCTACTACCAAAAGGTTCCTCTAAAAGCAGCTTTGCCTCGCACGCAGAGTCAGTCTTGACCAGAGATCCGAAGAAGCAACTTATCTGCCAAGGTGAGCCATCAATATCCTGACCACTCGTTTCTTTCTACACGTGTGCTAGTTCATATTGAAACTTTATGACCAACGAACAGTTTTCTATTTAACTTACATCTCCCTTTCTGGTCGAGCTGACAAACTCAAGATGTATCCTACACTACTTGTGGTTGCTAGCCTTGTGGCCGCCATCGCCAGAGTTGGCTCTGAGGAGACCTCGTCAAACGGTTCACCTGTGGACGCCTGGAGGGTAAGAACTGGGAAAGGATTACTTGACTATAACAATGCTTGATTCTCGTTTTTCCTTCAAAACACATGCAGTTTTTGAAACTATATGTTTCGTAAAGTCCTAACGTTCAAAATACCGTTTTAGATTTTTCAGTAGCTTCGCCGTTTATAGTATAGTTACTCGGATTTAAAATTGTAGTTTATATAATTTCCGTTATTTTACTTACGTATCACAATAAAGCTGCATAAAGAGGCCATGGAAAGCGAAATGAGAAATCACGTGGTGTGTGACGTGCTTGGGACGATGGCTCCAAGCTTCCACCTTCCTCTTTAAGCAAACCATGGAACGTGTCATTCGCAAGCGACGATAAGTGCAGTCACGGTAATCATTGGCCACGAACGCGAATTCAAATATTAGTCGACGGATTGATTGTTGACGAGCGCCTACGTTCGAGTGACGTAGTGCTCGTGTCCAATGCCTGAGCTGGTGTAGGCTGGCGTGCTTTGGGTACCGCGGATGTAGCACAGTGAAAAGGTGGAAAGTTTTCAAAGGAAAGAAGGTACAAAATAGTCCGGTATATGTTCAAATTTTCATACCGAAAAGCAGGTTTCATTTTCTACCTTTTTAATTTGACCCACTGAACGATATGCGATTAGTGACATTCCAACCTAAGATTATTTATCCCAGCCCAAAATTTTTCTGATGGTCTCTTGATTTCACTGAATTACCATGAAGCCCATTTTCGGTATTCTGCTGCCTATCTAAGAAACGTGCAGGATCTGCAAATTGCTGTGCGGTTGAACCTGCTCTTTGTTTTTCCTTTTCTTCTTCGTTTATTTTTCTAAAACGTGTCATTCATGCCCGAGTCCCACTAGAGCGACAAACCGAAAGAGACGACAGTGCAAGCCTCAAACGAGTGTCTTTCGCGATTTGACATGCTTTGTAGAATAAAGGAGTCTATGCTCAAACACGAGCATCATGCAGGCGAGGGCATCTTTTGCAGGCTTGCAATCACTCGTGCTTGCTTCACTAGCACCGAACAACTAAACGTCTGCCAAAGGTTCTTTCTCGAGCATGCTGCATGTGTTTTAGACATGTAGTTCTTGTTTGTGTACGTTTGTCGCTATAGCGGAACTCGGTCATACAGTGCGAGAACTGTTCAGCCCTCCTGTGGCGCCCGAAAAACACCTATGCGGAGGGCAAGTTCGTCTGCTTCTTGCGCAGGGGGTAGCGGTGACGTCAGAACGCCGAGCCCTGATTGGCTGATCGCGACCCCCTATCTGAGCGTCGTCTGCTCCTTTGCAGCGTCGTCTGCTCGCAACGTCATCTGCGTCTGTCTCACCTTTCCTGCGGCTTTCGGAAGTGCAGAGGCCACATTCACGAGACGATCTTACGCCAAAAATGTGCGTAAGACATAACTTAAGAACAAATTCGTATTCACGAAACGAAATTTTCGTAAGTTTTGCGCAGGTTACGACGAAATCCTACGACAGCTCCGAAGCTGTCTACGCACTTCTTACGATCAAATCAGCATGGCCGACAGTGTCGCGGTCGCGACGACCCACGGACGTTTATTTTTCTACGTGCGCTTCTCACGCGTCCCGACTTCAAGCAGCAAGAAAAAAGTAAAAAATACTTGAAACAGACCACGACGAACAAAAACGATGGATCCACAAACACCCGGGAAAAGCTCCAGCGGCCACGATTCCACCGAACGTGACCAAGCGAGCACGGCGGTTAGGCCTAGCAGGCACTTCGCGACTCGGGGACCGTCTGCCCACGACCGGCTGGCGTGTTAAATGGAATATGCCCGCGCGGCCCTTGTGAACCCTTCCCGTATTATACTTTGATCGCTGACCTCAGTTTTAGATTAAGTGGTCAATTTCTTCCTCTTGTTATCTCCTTGTTTCCCGAGGCAACGGTGACTCTCGCCGGTGAAAAAGCCGTGAATCTCCGACAGACGCAGGAAAGGTAAAGGAGCCATCGCTTTGACTAACAGACGTAAAGCAGACGACGTTAACTGCGCCAACCCGCCGACGCGTTAAAGAATGAGGGGTCTCGCCGCACACAAAAGGAGGAAAAAAGTATTTGGGAGGGAACTTGCGGACACTAACACGCTCACTCTCGGTTCTTAGCAAACAAACCTCGGCCCCTCGGCGCCTCGGGACACCTCGCCAGTCAGTCCTTTGACTTCCCTCCTTGATGCGCGTCTGCTAGTTGTTAGACAAAAACAACGTACCGCTCCAGTTATTTCGTCTGCCCCCTCTGAAAGGCAAAGTCAAGCTCGCTCGAGTTCCGAAAGTCGCAGGAAAGTTAAGACAGACGCAGATGACGTTGCGAGCAGACGACGTTGCAAAGGAGCAGACGACGCTCAGATAGGGGGTCGCGATCAGCCAATCAGGGCTCGGCGTTCTGACGTCACCGCTACTTCCTTTCTCATGCGCAGAAGACGAAAATGAGCCCACTTGCGAGGCGTATAGGTGCGTTTGCGGGCTTCTCGTTTTAGATAGAAACCGCGATATTAAACGTTGTGCATCACTTTGATATACGGAAAGCAGCAGCAGAGTCTTGTGGCCTCCTTCTCATTAAGAACGTTGGCCGTTCTGAACCAGACCTAATGCGTTGAAACTTGCAGCAGTGTCCAGCAATAAACACGCTTTCCCATTCCTTTCTATATACCGTTTCACATTGGGTCCGCCCGCGGCAAACGCCACGACCCAATGGAGCCAATCATACCGCGCCAAAAGTGCATTGTCACGGCACTCGTTGTCTTTCTGCGTTTTCCAATAACGGTTGAACCAATCACGGACAAAATAAAAATAGCACAGTATTAAGCAGCATTAATTTCGCATGATTGGTTTACACGGTAATAGTAAGCTTATAAAGGCGACCAGCGCCGTGATGATGCGCTTTTGGCGCTTATTTATTCACTTCGTCGAATCAAAGTGTTGGCTGCGGTCGAACTTAAAGGGAAGCTACTGAGCTTCTTGAAACAAAAATGAGTTAGAAGTGAATTGTAGTGTATTTTTACCCCGGGAACCCGAATATCTAAACCATTTGCTGCAGAAATATTGTTAAACGCGAGAAAACGCGCCAAGGACAGTCGTTGTACGCGACGTCATCGACGGATCTTTTGGCTGCCCAAGGCTAGGAAGGCGGGGCTTCAGCCCTATTTTGACGCTCTCCGGCGGGTCGCATTGAAACATAATTGTGGTATCTGTTATTTTAAAGGCCAAATGAACGCAATTCCCGAGTATTTTGTTCTCAAATACAGAAGTTCCCCATCTTCCCTTTAATGGGCAACTCCGCTCAATTCCGAAGACATCGGAATAATGAGTGATTTTGCCTTAAAAAGCCCTAGTAAAAGACACTACGGCATTTGCTTCGCAAACAATGGGATATATATTTTTAAATTTAACCTTAAACACGAGCAGAAGTCGAAACCGAAACTTTTGCTCCGTCCGGCAGCAGAGACCTCGGGCCGTCAAGAGCATGGCTATCACGTGGAACGAGATGTCACATGTTCAGGGGTGGATTTAGGGGTAAGGGGCAAAGATGGAAGGATAGGGGGGAGGAGCGGGGGCGCCCCCCCCCCCCCCCCTTCCCCCCTTTACGCGGATAAGTGGGATAAAAGCAAAATCCTGAAAGTGGCGATTAGCGGAGCCGAAGCGGGACAATGGATTCGGTCGACTCTTTTTCCTTAACAACGTCCTTGATATCTCAATAAAAAATAAATAAAAAAGGCCAGAGATTAGTGTACAAGTTCACCAGACGCAAATTGTACCGGCCAAGGGAGAGTGGTGCTTCTTCGAAGTTAAGAACGTGAGATGGCAAGTTGGCGTTCCACTCAACACACATTGGGTCGGAAGTGACGAAGCTGTTTTACAGTTCAGAGAGAGACTGAGAATTATCGCACAGACATTAGAAACGGTTTTCTAGTGGCGAAAACAAAGCCCGGCAGCCAAGGCAACATACCTGCTTAGCTCAGTCCTGCAGGCTGCCGGCTTCGTCATTGCCACCCTAGCTCTCTACGACGTTCCCTCAGTCACACTACCCCTGAGTTGGCTGCTCCAAAAGCCGAATGTCGAAATGAACAGTGCCTCGGATATCGTAAAAGACCCGATCGTCATCCTGAGCGAAAAGTGGAACCCTTTGAACGTCGAGAAGACTTTCAAGAAATGTTCACACATGCAGAAGACAATGCCGAGAGCATGGGAGCCGGGAGCCCAATTAGATGTGCCTCATCTGGTGCAACGACAAAGGTTCTGCGGAAAATTCCCTCCACAGACAGCCAACTCATATTTCTGCGCACACGTCAACATTCCTTTTACAGAATCCATCGTTGAATATCTGAAGCAGCGTTTGCCGGAAGAGGTGCTGGAGGTGTCCTGCCTCAACAGACTGTTTAAAATACTGGGTAAAATGTCAATGTAGCCAAATGTGTCCGTTTCCAAGCGCTATATTGCCGCGCGCAAGGCTGAGAAAGCAACGCTCGGTCACGGTCCTCCAGAAAGTTCCCGTTTATTCATGTACCGCACGTAACTTCTATCATTTATCCCTGCTTTTGTTTTCTAGAATGTCACGGGTGGTGATTCGTGACCAATAAACAAGAAATAAACAGAAATAAATAAACGTTTAATGTGGCGAACTTGTGCCAAAAATAAAGAAGGAAACAGAAGAAAGCAGAGCGTCGCGGGCGTCGAAGTCGGCGTGTCAGCAGAATCGAGCGCTGGGGCGAGACTGACTCGACAAGGTCGCGGGCGGCCTCTTATCTAGAGTGCGCCGCTATCTCGAAGATTGGGCGAAAGCGGTTCGAGCGTCGCGTGATCGGGGCGAGAATGAACACGCACTTTCTAGAAAACAAAAGCAGGGATAAATGATAGAAGTTACGTGCGGTACATGAATAAACGGGAACTTTCTGGAGGACCGTGACCGAGCGTTGCTTTCTCAGCCTTGCGCGCGGCATTACTCCCCCCTTTAAAAGTGCATCGCCCCGATGCAGTGTAAAACAAATCAAAATAAAAAAGAACGATAAACTAAAGAGTCTTTTGGAGCACAAAAGGTCCACAGTCCTATCGAGCGTAGTACGGCTTCAGGCGCACGACGTGGACGACCTCAGGTCGTGGTGGGCGGCGTGACGATGTTCGTGTTCCGTCGGGCATCACCTCGTAGTTCAGCTCGCCGAGGCGACGAAGTACCTTGTATGGTCCAAAGTACCGTTTCAGCAGTTTCTCACTGAGGCCGCGGCGACGGATGGGCGTCCATACCCACACCCTATCTCCGGGCTGGAAGTGGACGTCCCTGCGACGAAGGTTGTAGCGGCCGGCGTCGACGCGTTGCTGGTCTTGAATCAGGAGTCGGGCGAGCTGGCGAACTTCTTCGGCGCGTTGAGCAACCGCCTGGGCGTCGTCGCTCTCGTTGTCAGATGGCTCATGGGGCAGCATGGCGTCCAGCATGGTCGTTACCTTCCGACCATGTACCAGCTGGAAAGGGGTGAATCCAGTGGTCTCTTGAACCGCCGTATTGTAGGCGAACGTGACGTGGGGCAGCACCTCGTCCCACGTCTTGTGCTCTACGTCGACGTACATAGAGATCATATCGGCGATTGTCTTGTTGAGTCGCTCCGTCAGCCCGTTGGTCTGCGGATGGTACGCAGTTGTACGACGATGGCTGGTGTGACTGAGTCGGAAGATTTCTTGGGTCAGTTGTGCCATGAAGGATGATCCGCGATCTGTAATCAGAACTTTCTGGAGGACCGTGACCGAGCGTTGCTTTCTCAGCCTTGCGCGCGGCAATATTTCAGACGGAGACAAAGTAATGCAACATGCCTTTCATTAAAAACACGACGATGTGGTTTAAAATGTTTCACCTAATTTTTTATTTTTTTTAGTTCAAAGATGGGTGTTTTTATTCGGACGTTGAAGTTTCGAAACTTTTGACCTTAGAACATGTTTGAAGCGCTGTAAAAAGTGTCTTTATAAACTACTAGACCAACAAATTATATACAGACTGTACCCCCCAGGTGAACAATATTGGAAAAAAATTAAATACTTTATCCTAAAGAAAATAAGAGAGATAAGTAAAAAATTCAAAGTAAAATTGTCAGAGTGATCCTGTTCGCGCGTTTTTGACTCACAATGTATAGCGTGTCTAAGATGCGGAGGCTCAACCTAAAATAGGCCGTAAAAATCGTCGTCTGTAGTTAGCAACCTACACTTGTCGTTAACGGTGTATTTTAGAGTTGGATTTAACATTGTGAAATTACGAGGCGCACCTCCCTTTACGTAAAACAATATGGGGCTAAACTCTTGCCATGGTCAACGGCGGACGGCGATGCAGACGACAGAGTCCAGTGGCGGGGCGCGTTCGGCCCATGTCTCTGAAGCTCAAGACTACATGTTCCGGCACAAGGAACTTTTTTTTTTTTTTAAGTCTGCAGCGACCTTCATTTTTAAGGTCCTATAATAGATCGATCTCTCCAGCCAGTTTGACTACGCCACCGCTGCCGCCATGCATTAAGGTAACTTTAGTCTTTCTGCACGTGCGACAACCCCGAAAGGGCTATGCGCGTGTAGAGCACAAGACGGCACGAGCCCTCCCATGCACTGCTGTCTGCCTCCTGTGAACTAAAGTTATGGCGGCGTCACGGAAGCGCTGACAGCTTAGTGAGATCGGTCTATTCATGATGTGTATACGGAGTAGGTGAGGTATTTGGTGTGTCACATGACTATATTTTCCCTCCAAATTTAGCGGGGAAACTGGATTGGTGTCTAGGTCATAAGACGTGATTTTTCGCCCTAATTTTAGCTGGGAAACTTAGTTGACGTATAGGCGTTGTGCCGTCGATTTCCACAAAGAGCGTAGGTCACGTGGCGTGAGGTAACGTCTTGTGACGACACCTTTCCCGCTAAATTTGGCGGAAAATGCACAGACGGACGGGCGGACGAGCAGACACAATTTAGGAATGGCGGGCAGCGCCAAACAACATTTCAAGCTTTAAGACAATATAACGTCTTGAGTTGTGGCATTAAGCCAGGTGAAGCATTGAGGTCAGTGCCACAGCGCAGTCAGTTTTCTTCTTTCAGATTTAAACATATGATCAGTTCCGTCATTCATAGATGACATCGATGGCACTCCTAAGTGCTCTGCGGAAGAGCAGACACTGCAGAATGTTTAGGGTGTTGGAGGAAGTATAAATACCGGACTGGGGGGCAGCTCAAGACAGTGATTGTTTTCAATGCCTTTTTTTGCAGGTTGTGACTCTGAAGGACGCTTTTTTCCTCATCTACCGTTCCTACGAATTTGATGAGGGCTTCGGAGACACTGGGAAATGTGCCTCCATGCAATTGTCCGAGGCAAACGAAACAGCCAGGACTACGAAGACCAAAATAATGTACAGGGACCCTCAGACGACCGAAATGTAAGTCTAGACTTGCCCTCGGCTACCTTCTTTGTTTCGCCTGATTACAAAGAACTGACTTTATAATTTAGGACAGAATATACTGTGTCTATCACGGTGCCTCGTTCAGACGGCAGCACAGTCTGCGACACCGTCCAAATAAGCGACGAGACATGTAAGCCGGAATTTCTTACTTTATTTAAAATCTAGATATCATACTGTACTCTCAACAAAAAACGGTATATTCTTACACCCCATGACCTATATACGACACCCCAAAATTTCATTTCGATGCACAGAGCGCTGACTTCGAACAGACAACCTCAAAGTTTACGAGGCGCTTGAGAACGGTGAGATATACCTAGGGTTCCGCGTTTTCGGTTTCTATTTTCTCAAAATTCGGCGTACTTTTTTCGGTGTTTATTTTAAAATTCAATTTTCGGTTTTTTTCGGCGTATATTTATGCCCACCAAAATTTATCGGCTTTTTTCGGTGTATATAAAATAAACACCAACGGACACCGGATCAGATGATCCTTGTAGCTCTGATATTTTTTATCACTCAATTAATAACGGCACAAATATATTGAAAAAGAAATGAACACTTTATTTCGCATATGTGTGCAACTGTAAAGAATCAATAAAAAAAACCGAAGTAAAACAAATCAGATATGAAGCCTATGCTCAAAAAACATGGAACTTCACCTTATGTTTCCCAGGATTACGTGATCTTATTACAGTACACACGCATGTACTTTCCCAGGTTCTCCTCGTTGATCCACACTCTTTCTTTTCTGTTAATATGACCCTGATCTTCGAAAATGCCCTCTCAACGCTAACACTGGACACTGGCAGGCTGAGATGATGAAGCGCTGCCTGAGTCAAAATCGACCAATCAACCAATTGTGAGCACCAAAAGAGACACGGTGCGACGTTTTAAAGCACAACACAACATGCAGAGCTTGCATCAAGTCAGCCTTCCTTACAACGAGTTTGAAAACACGCCCGTACATGGCGAAGTCATGGGGCATTTCGGACTTTGCGTTCCGATCGATGATGCGCACAATTAACCAAAACGTCGTGTTGGCATCCGTGTATCCCATACATTCGGAAACGTTTCGATAGACACCGTCGTTCCACTTTTTCGCCACGGCTCTGCGGTACGACTGGAAGGTTAAAGTGACCGTTTCCGGTTAAAACTGATTTTCAGAAAATGGATTCGACGTACTTTTATCGGTTTTTATCGATTTAAATCGAAAATGCCGAACCTAAAAACTGACCTTTTTCGGTTAAAACCGAATTTCCGAAATTGAATACGGCGTACTTTTATCGGTTTTTATCGGTTTAAACCGAAAACTCCGAACCTTATACCTCATTAAGCAGCTAAAGTGCGTATCGAGGACTAGAGAAAAGAAACACTGAGGTCTTGCAGTAGTACCAAGAAAACCGCGATAACTTTTTTTGTAGTCAATGACACGTACATTAGCTATTTCAATAAGTTGTACCACTCGGCTATCAAGCCGCCTGTTAAAGTTGGGAACGACGGCTCGACGTCAGCGCGCTCTACGTCGAACTGAAGTTTTGGGGTGCCGTATATCTGACAAGGGGTGTAAGGATATACCCTTTTTTTTCTGAGAGTGTATATTTACACAGCACAGTATCCATTGCGGTTTTACGTTGCGTGTAAGGTCCCGTTCACACACATCCGTCTGCTTGGGACCGAGTTCTTGTAATATTTTACGACGAGAGGACAAACTGGCACGCTGGCGCCATCTATGAGGTAATCCTGGGAACTGAATTTCACTCGATCGAAGGATTTGCGGCATCTGCAACATCAAATGTACGTACTGTGTATCAGGAATGATATTTTATAACATTGTCAAAAGTTTTTCAATCTAATGAAGAAATGATGTGCGAAAAAGAAAAGGAAATACACCGAAAACCGCAAAAGTTCTACAGCTACCGGAAATACGGCACCAGGGCTCCTCGATGCGCGCTCTCCTGCTGACTTCTAATGCCCCTGTTGTGGCATTAGGAGTCGGGGCTTTACCAAACACCGGTCCAAGTCCGTGTTTCGCAGCGTTCACATTAGCGTCGCCGCCATCGGCGGCGTGGTAAATAGCGTCGCTACCGACAGCGGCGCTTCGGTGATGGAGCGCTCTCATTCAAGTAAAAAGTAAATTAGAAAACTTCTTCATATAACAGTAATTTCTATAAAACGCATTCGGCGCATCATGAAACTATAATGCAATTTATTTTCTATCTTCATTTCTGTATTTTTCTTTTGTTCCCGAAACAAAACCAAAAACCGACCGGTCGGCGCTTGCATGAGCTCTCAAGTGGCACGAGTCGCTGGCACACCGGGCCTCGGCGCCGTCCAATACTGCTTAGGAGCTAAGGCCGTTGCGCTCTTTTTGTGACGTCGCAAAGGAAGGCCATCCAGGGCGCGCGCCTAAGCGCCGAAGCGAAGGCAACGTGCGTGGATCAACCGTCGTAACAATACACTCTCGGAAAAAAGGGTGTATTATTACACTCTTGGTCCCATATAATACACCCCAAAACTTCAATTCGACGTACAGCGCCCTATAACAGAACAGGCGGCCCAAAATTTTACGAGGGGCTTGATAGCCGGGTGGTACAACTTATTAAGATTGCTAATCTAGGTATTACTGAACACAAAAAAATATTATCGGAGTTTTCTTGGCCCTTCTGCAAAAACTCCGTGTTTTCTTTCTTTGGTCTTTCATACGTACTTTAGCAATTTAATAAGTTATATCGCACCTTTATCAAGCCCTTCGTAAAATGTGGGGCCGTCTGTTCGACTATAGGGCTCGGTACGTCGAAATGAAGTTTTGGGGTGTATTATATGGGACAAAAGGGTGTATGGTGATACCCTTTTTTTTAGAGTGTGCATGCGTGTCTTATTAGCTAAAACAAAAAATGCACAGAGCAATTGGTCTAGAAAACACTTTGTTACATGCGCAAAATATTACACCGCATAATAATCGGTAAGGAATAGCACGAGGTATGCGTATAAGACGTATACAAAAATATGTTATTTTATTAAGTCGAAAACATTGAGTCACATAATTATTGCTGTAGGAATGCACATTTTATACAGAAATTTTTTGACAAAATGGCGAGAAACGCGTTGATTGGACACAGCAAAACAGATCACAGATAAAAATTACGTAGACGTAGTCAATGCTAACACGGCTAGACAGGTGCAGTGATGTGATATGCCTAAGCCATTTTGGAGCACCTTTTGGAGCAGCCAAAACAGTGTTTTAGAGCAGCAAAATGGGCCTTTGAGGCAGCCAGAACAGTGTTTCGGAGCAGAAAAAGTGACTTTTGGAGCAAATTTTCGTAAAAAAAATAAAAAGATAAAAAAAAAATATTTGTTTTAAGTGCTGGACAAACAAAGGGCACTTTGTGCTGGGTTATGGCTAGGGTGTGTATTTTCCGGTTTTAACCGAAAAACACCGATAAACATCCGTCGGTGACGAAAATATAAAATCGGTTAAAACCGAAAAACACCGGTGGTTGGATATTTTCGCCCTGGTTAAAACCGAAAAACACCGGTCGTTGCTAGTTTCCGACCTAGCGAAACCCTTTCCCCGTAGAGGTTCGTCAAACGTGTTATCTCGTGGATCCTGCATTCTTCCAGTGTTTATACACGGCTTGCAGGTGGCGTCAGTCCGCCTTCCTTTCTGGGGGTCAAAAGCGTCTAGTGAACGCAGTGGACGCTAAGCTCTCATACGCCTTTCCCCTATTGTGTCTCCCATGGCCCCCTTTTGTGGAAAAATTAACACAGTGGAGGGTAGGCTCTCACGTGCCTTTTCCTCATTGTGTCTGGCCAAGTGATGTCGGTGAAAGCCATGTATTCAGAGGTTGCTGTGGTTCCTGGAAGACACTGCCAACGTCCGTGTCGTACAGGAGAGTGCGTTTTCATAATTGCGGGTTGCGAACCGCAAGGAACGTGCTGCCATGACGGCAGCACGTTCCTTGCGTGTAGATGCAAGCATGAAAGTATGCTTGCATCTACTATAATAACCAAGTGTGACAAATAGTTGCTTCCTAGAGAAGAAGTGTATGAACTATGTGAATAAAACTGGAACTCTCTGCCTGTGATCAATCGCTTTTTTTCACCGATATTCACCGATTTTAGCCTCGTCGTGAGACGTTCCACCGAAATACACCGGTGTTTTGAAAATAAATAAACACCGAAAAACATCCGCCGATTTTTCTCACAAATAAACACCGGAAAGTACACACCCTAGTTATGGCGGAACTCGCTGTTTGTGTTTTTACTGGCGAGACACCCCACAAGTGTACAGTGTTGTGGGCATTGCTGAGAAAATCGGAAAAGAACGCTCGCTACCGTTTTGCTGGTTCCTGGTTCCGGACGTGCCAGATTTTTGTTAAAAGTAAGCGAACGTAAAAAATGGATTGCAAGCTTCCCGGCTGGTGCCCTGTCGTGCAGTTATATTCATATGCACGTGAGAGCTACTTCAGCAGGCTTGCAGGGGCACGTGCTTCGTCACGCAACGGCTGTTCAATCGGAAACAAAACCATGCCTCTCTGCTCCGTCGCCAACTGGGTCCCAAAATAGTATGCAAAATGCAACTGTCCAGCATTCGACAATAAAACAGACAAGCGGCGCGTGCTTGCCAAGCTGGCAAACGAGGTACAAGCTAAATACAGAGAAAAACAGAACCTGAGCACATTGATGCATGACATCGCGAGCCAGGGTCAAAAATGTTTTGGAGCGCACTGAGCAACGACTGAACTCGAGACAAACAGGCGCGCTGTGTGGGTTCAGCGTGCAGACATTGACTTCTTTGTTTTAGCTCACTTCCTCTCACCAACTTTCTTTTGCGGCATATTTTTCACGTAGCGGGGTCCTTCTCAAAAGAAAGCCCGCCGAGAGATATTTAGGTAATAAATATTTCGACAAGCAGCCTTTGAGTAAAAGAGGGATTTTTGTAGTATAGTACGATCTGAACGAGAAGAGGAATGTTGATGAACAAGTTTAGAAAGCGCCATATCTGCAGCGACATGGGGACGGGAACACCCGTCGTCGCACGACCACGGTGACAGCGGTCGCGCGAGCGTTTCAGCTCACAAAGTAACTCTCGCCGGGCAAAAACGTGGTTTTGTTTCACAGCGTGACGGC